TTCTGTGCTTCCAACAGTTTGGAGAAGGCCCTTTTCTGTTCCAGCATGACTGGACCCCAGTGCAAGCGAGGTCCATAAAGGCATGGTTGAGTGCGTGAGAGAGAGTGTGGTGCTGAAGAACTTGAGTGGTCTACACAGAACCCTGAACGCAACCCTACTGAACACCTTTTGGACTAGAACAGAGATTGCGATACAGGCCCTCTCATCCAACATCAGTGTGTGACCTCACAAATGCTCTTGATAAACAGTCAAAATTCCCCAAGAAAACTCTAATCATCTTCCTGCTTCAATGATTCCACCTTAATCTTAATAGAACTACTAATGGGTCCTAAGGTGTAAAATGAATGGGAGTGTCCCTCCCAAATGGACTTTATAATTCCATAACTTTCAAAATGTAATGCAAATTAGTTTACATGGACACAAGCAATTACAAAAACTGGCCTGAGTAAAACTTCATTAGCAGCACTTAAATTGTTTTGAACAGTTTTTCCTTAATGGCCTCCTCCTGAGCTTTTTCTGCCTTTAACTTTAACATTTCATTGAATTTCAAGGTTTTTCCTTCATGTCTTCTGTCTCTTGAAGGATTGGAGTTTACAATCCTCATCACACTCTTTTCGGAGTGTCTCTCAAAGGTAATCCACGTCTCGGCAGGGTTCTTCTCAGGCATTCAGCTGCTGCTGTATACACAAATCCATTTTGTTTTGGAGCTTGAAGTTGAACTCCTGAATTATATTTTAAGGGCCTCTTTTTCTTTTTTCCAGATGTTCAAGTTTAGCTTCAAGCACAGCCTGATGCCTCTGTTTGGACCTTCTCTTCCAAGTAACATGTTTCTTGTTGGAGAACATTGTCTTCCTCAGAGGTTTGGTGCTTCTCTTGGGCACAGACATAATTTTGTGTTTTGTAGGAAAATCTGGCTCCTGAATTTTACTCTCTTGCTCCATCCGAGAGCTTTCTCTGCACTCTTAGCCTCGTTCTTTTCAGACAACTTTAAGGTCAAGTTATTCTCTTTGCAGCTCATTTTCACACATAATTTTGCCAATCTTGCCCTCAAAGATCTTCATATTTTTAATAAATCCCTTCTTAAGAATGCTAAATTGTCATCGTCCAGCGAAGGTTAAAGCCAAGGGCAACTGGACTTGGTTGGACTTGGATACTCTATGACCTGGATGACTGAGAATCTTCATAGACATAAATTGTCATCAGTTTTTCGTTCTCAAATAATGTCAAAAATGTAAACAAATCAAATCCAGTTGGCTTGTTGAATCACATGTTATCTAACATAGGGTGCAGCTGTTTGCTCATAATATGAAAACTTTACTTAGCCCAATTGAAATTAAATGACATGTTTTTTTGCTGCAGCATAAATGTCTGCTCTGTAAATCTCACGTCCTGTGTTCTCCTTTTGTGAAAATAGCAGCCTGCTACACAACCAGAGCCATTTCAGTACCATTTGTCCCATTTGAGAATAATGTTATTATATTATTGGAATATTAATTATCAATATCAGTAAAGTGTTATCTTAACCTGCATAATACATCATGATTTATTTGTGATGAACTTTGTATTATTTTATTTGTATGAATAATAAAAGGATGGGGAAAAAATGGACGACTAACTCTGGTGCTTTACATAAATAATGATTAAACAGCTTAATTTGGCCAAAACATGGATTTATGCCTGACTCATTTTTCATCCAAACTTTAAAATAAAGGTGGAGCTGCCACTCACTCCAGTGTTCCCCTAAACATCAGACCCATCAAGATGTTTTTCTGGACCACTGTACTGTTCCCCTGCCTTGTGGCTACTGAGAAGTTCTTTCAACATGCATGTTATGTATGTGTTAATATTAGGTTAGTATTAGTTAGTATCTGTCAAAGCACTGTTGTTCAAATGAACGTCTGTGTAGGTCAACTTCTTTCTTCCCTCTGTTCTCTCAACAATTCTGTGTCCACACATTTATCTGATGTCATCAGGGACAGTAAACAATTAAAAGGCAACTGAAGTGAATTAACACAAAGTATTCTGTGTGGAGAAGAAACAGAAAAATACAAAAGTATATTTCATTTAGGAGTAAGTCAAACTTTTTAAAGTCTGTTCCTGAGAATAAACTCCCCTCTTGGCTCAGTCAGCTCCCAATGTAAGGTCTTCCAACATTACATTACTTTGTCAGCTTATTCTTAATGTCAAAATACAGTGGACTTTATATTTGAATCTCTCATACTTGTGTCACTAAAAACATTATCACATTATCACTGTTTATTTTCCTGTTTACCATTTACTTTGCTTCAAACATCAACTGTTTTTTTTTGTCATCTGCTTCTGCTCTTCCCCTCTTCACCCGGAGATTACTTGTCTTAGATAGATCTTGGCTTAATTTCAGAGAAACAAAAAAGGTAGTATGATCGTGTTGTTTTTGCAAGTATTGTCATCATTATCAGTAACTTTGGGGTGGGTCATTCATAACTGAAATGTCATGTGGCGTACTTATGTTGTGCAAGATATGGGGGAAAAAAACATTTTTATGTAATGTACTTAGTATCAGATAACAAGATCAGGACTCTACAAACATGCTACTATAGCAGCTCTGTGTACACGGCACAGCAGTGATGTGGGCTAAATGCTACAATCGGCATGCTAACATGATCATAATAACAATGCTAACATGCTGATGTTTAGCAGGTAAAGTGTTTACTGTGTAAACCATCTTTGTTTTGCGTGTTAAGACGCAGTCTTGTGGGTATTTGGTCAAAACCACAAGAAGACCAACTGGACAAAGAGATATTGGACTAGAGGAAAAAGTATGGTGATCACCAAACTTAAACAAATAAATCCTGCCTTAGGTGGACACAAATGTCTTTCCAAAATCTAGTCCGTCTAATACAACTACTAATGTCAAACTCATGGTGGTGCTGTAAGAAAAAGTGAGGAGATGATTAAAGTAAAAAGGATTCACCGCGAATGCTGTGAAAACTTTCACCAGCTGTTTACACTACAAGATCAGAGGATCACCAGAGTCATTAGGATTCTGGGGATCAAAAACTTCATGGCAGTAGTTTGTTGCAAAATCTCAAAATAATTGTTGAGATATTTTAGTCTGGACCAAAATTTTACAGTATACAAAAATGAGTGATGTTATCTCCTTCATGAAATAACAAAATATGTTTTACAGTTTTTTTTACTAAATAATCCAAACTGTAAAACATAATAGTACTGTTATGCAAGGGTTCCCAAATGATTCACAAACAGACTGGATGGATGCTGAGCCAGGCTTTAATCAGAGAGATCAGAAAGTCAGAGGACTTTGATGCTTAACAGAAGAAGAGTCCAGTCACATGAGCTGTAAATGCTGAGGACGGACAGACGAGTCAAAAAATAGGAAGATATCTCATTAACCTTGTCATACTGTACATAGATAGATGGATTCACGGTGCCACTTTCCGATGTGACCAGGCACTGAGATGAGAGTTGTTAAATGAAAACAAATTATTTTGATACAGTCTTTTAGTATGAAATGAAAAAGTGCATTTTAAGCATAAATAATTTCTTTGTCTCAGTCACAGTGGGTTCATGGGACTGCTGTGCATTCGAGTTCAGGTTCTAATAAAGCTACAGGGACGCACACTGATGTGGTGGGAGGATTGTATTAGAAGCAGAGAATAAAAGATTATTAAAGAATAAGAGTCTACAGCCATGCACAGAGGAGCTTTGAACTAAATGCTCACATCAGCATGCTAACATGCTTACAATGATTATGGTAGCATGTTGATTGTGATTGTGAATTTGCAGGCCCAAACAGAGTCAGAGTTGCATCATCTTTTATGACTAAACGTTGAACTGTTGCCGGTGTTCTGATGATCTATGCTGCCTTGCCGAAAAATGCTACCAGAGCGCAAATCGATAGACTCGATTCTACTCGGCCCTGCTCCGTTTTCCATTGCAGACAGTACCCAGAGATAGTACGTAGCTTGTCGTCATAGCGACACCACACACAACTGCCGCGACATAATGTTCAATGCGACACACACACCACCGATCCACAAACAGCTGTCTCTTGATTTAAGTTAAAATGTTTCAACATTCCTCAGAATGGAAAGACAGATAAGCGGTATGAAAACCTTCCAGCTGTGTTTTCCTCTGCCGTTGTTGCTGCAGCGGTCTGTGCCGGCGGGAGCAGAGGGCTCTGTGAGCGGGCGGCTGGCCGGAGGTGAGGTGATATGAAAAAAAGTACCTGGAAGCAAGTACAGGTCCAACATTTCTACAATGGAAAACCAAACAAGGGCGAGTCGAGACAAAGGGCCTCCGCTCAGACTAGCTTGGTTTGAGGGCGTGCCTGACCCTGCTAGCCGCTTGGCAAGCTTTATGACGCGTTTTCACTGTGACGTCACAAGTAAAGGAAGTGCTGGACTACAAACCAGTTGTTTTCAAGCGGTGCAGAGCAGAGCTTTCTGGGGGAGATGGGAACTCCCTTTGGGCTTTTTCACTTTGCAAACCTGTTACATGCACAAAAAGATATAACTCAATAAGGAGAGGGGAAAAGACAAAAAGCAGAATACCACCTCTTTAAAGAAATCTGGCTCATCACACGTTAACTTTGTAATCTTTTCTGAAGAACTTATTCTACACCCTGCAGATCAATACAACCTGAATCACAGCGGTCCCGAGAACTTTTCTGCCTCTGTGACTGAACCTGCTGCCCTCAACCTGAAGTGGAGGGCTGGTTGTGACTGGAAACAGGCGGCTGGACATAACAATATTGTGCAATGTTGTTTCTGTCAACACAGCTGGTGCAGCGCACATTGTTACGTCCCCCCTCACAACGGAATATGGTGTGCCGATTGACAGCATTCCCCAGCTGGGTAAGGGCTGTATCCCGGTATGTGTTTGAGAAGTTTGTCGAATCTCTGGGTATGAATAATTTAGTAAAAACAAAAGCATGACCACCCACACGCCTATTGAGCTTGCCCCAGTTCCTGTTAAGTGGACACTGAGGACATGGGAGGCATAAACATAGAAAAGCAAAAAATTATCTTCAGCATTATGATGGTCGAGCAAGCCTTGCATATTGGCCAAAACACGTAACTCTGCATGATCAGCTCCTTTCAGAAATTTGGCTGCAACCACCCTGTTGCCGATGTACACCTGGTTTTTGTTCATCATATTCCTCACTTTGTTACCAAGATCAGTTTTAAAGACTTGCTGAAAGTTCTGGTCCTGGTTCTGGTTCTGGTTCTGTGGGATCATTACAGCCAAACTGAACATGCCATCAGTTCCGTACCTAAGAAATAGACAAACTAAATGTCAGGTATAACAAATCATGTGATAGCTCATTTCATGCTAAACATATACTGTATTTGTTAATAATTAGAAGTGTGGATCACATTTATTGAAAATATTATTTCATTATCTTTTTGAGACAAGCAGCAAAAAGCTAGCACAGGGGTAAGATTTAAAGGTATTTAGAAACCAGTAATTTAGAGCCGGAATAATTAGTCAATTAATCAATTTGTCCATCGACAGAAAGAGCATCCGGCCCTTTTAACAAATCTATATCAAGGTTGTAAAGACAGAGATTGTTGTGTTTCTCTCAAAATACAGAATTCAGTGAAGGAGGCAGAAGTTAACTTACTTTCCTAAGATGCGATCTACAAATCTAGCAAGGATCTCCGGGGTCACAGCATCCACACTGTTTCCAACAGACAGAACGAAGGCCAGCATCACCGCCATCCAGCACAGACCAGCCATCTGCACACAGATCAGGTTTATTGATTGAGCATTTTATAAAAACAACAGCATCATACAGAGGATTCAAAACAACTATAATATGTCCGAAGCATGTTGTCTGCAGGCTTTCACACATTATTTCATATATTTTGCACTTCAAATACTACAAATAAAATTAATTAGTAATTGGTTTCTACATTCACACTTAGAGTAACACTAAAACAGAAACAAGCTTTCACCTCTCTGGACATCAGCACATTTAACACAACCAGAGATATTAATAACGCAGCTACCTACAAACTTCAATGTAATAAATACCACGATTCACATTAATTCACTGAAATAGCCCAAAAATCTCAGCTGAATTTCCAGAAATACTGATTTTCTTTAGAAACTGAATGGTTTTTTTTCCTGGTTTAGTCTGTTTTGTTTGAAGCACCCTGGCCATTTGTGTATGTATCATCAATATAGTACAATACCATTTAGCTTAAAATTACATATATACATTTTATTCGAAGTATTCATTCCATACATTATGTAGTCTGGACTTGCTGGAGGTGTTACATTTTTCTGTGGTTATTTGTGTGTCTGTAGTGTTCTATCTGAAAAATAACCCTGTATTATTTCTCAACATAAAAGCAAAGAGAAAATTAATGGCTGACCAGAAATGTGTCAGATAAATCTGAGATAAGATACTGCTTCTGTCATTTACAGAGTACACTTAAAGAAAGTCACACAAATAAAATGAGCCACTTGTTGAACATCATCAGCTTTTGAAAAAAAGTGGTGTATGTGTGCCAGAGCCATGGAAATAGATTTTAGCCTCAGAGGTGCAGTTTATTTGGATATATTTAGATTGTGCAGTTTAAATGTGGGGCTTTAACAAAATGTTCAGAGTGGCACCATCCCGTTATATAAAATTCAAAAATATTCAAAATCTTTCACAGAAAAAACAACGTTTTGTGTCTCTTTGTGGATGTTTGAGTGACTTTCCAAAAGAGACGTCTCTAGGATTAATGAACTAATTAGCAGTGTTGGGCAAGTTACTCAGAAATGGTAATATATTACTTATTACTCCTTAAAAAAGTAGCCTAATAATATTACTTTACTTATTACTGGATGATAAAAGGAAGTAGTTACGTTACAACCCCCGTAGTGTGAACGCCACAAAGACTTCAAGACTCCCGTCACAAGACGGCAAGTTGTGTAGTGTGAACGGCACAGCCATCAGCCGACGCTGAAAGTCGTGTATTCTGCACAAGCATTTAGTTTTTGGCTAACAGCTGACTTGAACAACCGCTGAGCTGCCATAGAGTCGCGCATTCACGTCAAGGACAGTGTGTTCAGTAAGGCAGTAACTTGCTACTTGGATTAGTAACTGTAATAATATCACTGTGTAATAAATAAACCTTTTTGAACTGTACTGTACTGTGTGTGTGTGTGTGTGTTTGTGTAACGGTGCTAATGTAAAGATCTCTAGATGAAGAGTCAGCCATTGCCACTCCCGGCTTCTGGAGGCCTTAATGTGGCTGCATTAACTTTTTGGGAAACAAATTGCGCAAGTTGAGTTATAATTTTCACTTAAACATTGCTAGCTTCCTCTTTAGAATCAAGCTAAAAACAGCCAAGTGAAAATCTTTTACCTTATTTGTTGGAGAGAGATGTCTGATGGATGCTGTCCACTTCTTTAGTTTTCTTCTGTGTTACAAGTGAAGGTCCTGCTGCAGTGAGTTCAGTCAGAAGGAAGGGCTTCTTTATAGAGGAGAGGTTGACCACAGTCAAACCCTCAGAGTGGCACCATGCCCTTATTTGAACATATTTATTTGAACAAAAATCAGGAAGAAGGAAGAAGTTTGATATTAAAAGTTAAAACACAGTAGGTCTTTCTTGTGAAATGCATTTCAGATTTTACATCTGGACCAAAGGAAACCCAATGAGCACTTACTATATTCACATTTTAATGCATTTAACATATGTGGTTTAGCTTTTAAATAGCCTGGGTATAACACCACTTTGGGCCAAGCAGTAAACACATCACTAAATAAATGAATGCATAAAATGCATGCATATGCTTATGTTGTTATATACCAACAAAGGCACACTGACAGACAGAGGAAGCACAGAGGAACATAAATCACTCATCAAAAGATAATGTCACTCCTGAACAAATCAGTCATGTGCAGCATTCAGGTGTGGTAAATTCATGTTTTTACTCACTCTTTTAGCTTTGGTTTGGTCTCCACCAGCTCCAGAGAAATATGTCCTGCTCTTTCACTGCTAAATGCTCCATGCAGGGGACAGACAGATCAGAATGAGAATGCAGAGCCAAGCTTTAATCAGAAAGAACAGTTAATAGAGGATTTGGTAATGCTTTATAGAAGTACTCCGTACAATGACGTAAGTAAATACTGAGGTTTATATAAATTGAACATCCACATTAATTATATAAATAACTTACTATAACATAGGGTAGAATAAGTTCCCCTTCGAGGGAACTCGAACTGCGTCGGTTACGACACTATGGGAACGCCTCTAGGCGAAGCAGGTCTGAACGTGAATGAAATCACTCCAATCCTATTGGCTTGTTGCTAGAACGGTAAGGTGTGACGGAATAACCGGAGGAGTATAAAGCACACCTGTACACACTCATCATTAGCTTTTTTCTATTCAGCAGGCGCTCTGTATGTTGTTTGAAGAAAGCTCCAGTCCTACAAGCAGTATGTCTTGAGAAGAAGTCTACCAGCATGTCCGGCAACCAGAAGTACAGAAGGGTGTTTTTTTTCTTGCCCTCGGTACATCACGGATGGAGATTCTCATGAGATGTGTGTCTCATGTTTGGGGATGGAGCACGCCCGGGCAGCTCTCGAGGGGGCTGCCTGCGGCCATTGTGAAGCCCTTTCCGTGCGGGTACTGAAGTACAGCATGGCTCTTTTCCGAGGATGGCCGGATGTGTTTTCCCCGTGGCGTGGGCCCGGCGGCTGCTGAGGCGGCCCGGCGGCTTCACTCATGTGGTTCACAGCGTGATCTGTCGGACGATTTCGGGACGGCTGAGGCTTTTTCCCGACCTTCATCCGCTGGCTCCGACGCTTCCTTTCCTCGTTCGGGAGCCCGTTCTCGGCTTCTCCCGCTCGCGGTTTGGATCCGGAGACGCTGCAGCAACGTGCTCAGCGTAGTGGACGATGACTTCCGGGTGTCGGGGCGGCGTCATCTGGCGGCGCCCGACTATGACGTGCTGCTGGAGGTGGTGACTAGAGCCGTGGCTAAGCTCAACATCAACTGGCCAAAGGAGGAGCAGACACACAGGCTAGTGGTAAGCTTGATGAAAGGTTTCTTAAGCACCACGCGCCACCTCCAGGCCGGTCTCTGCCATTCTTTCCCGATTTTCATGATGAACTGAGTAATCATGGGGCAGACCCTTCTCCACATGGCTTTCCACACCCCGATCACTGAACTACAGTAATATGATGGGGGTTGGGGACTGTGGTTATGGGAGGATGCCTCGGGTGGAGGATGCCTTGCGAGCTATCTCCCTGGAGAAGCCGGCGTAACCATCCAAACCATGTCGCACCACATTTACACTCGTGGGGAAGGCGTACATGGCAGCGGGCCAGGCAGGTGCGAGCTTGCACACCATGGCGGGCTTCAAGCCTACCAAGCCGACCTGCTACAGGAGATGGTTCGAGGGGGGGTCCCTCTGAGGAAGATCTGGTGGAGCTTTGCAGAACCACGGAGAGTTAGACGCAGGGCGAAGCGTTCCGCCAGTACCTCCCTCGCCGGTCTGGACCCAAGGCAGCTGAGGCTGCCAGGCGTAGGTCCCTTCCCTCTACGAGCTCCTACGGAGAGGAGAGGAAGCAGAGTGTCGCTTCTTGGGGCCCCCCCGAGGAGCGGGGCAGCGAGACGGCGCTCTCGCCCTCAGCCGTCTGAGAGACGCGATCTGAGGACCGTCATCCAGTCCCGACGGAGCTCAGGGAAGACCGGGGTAGGGGAGTCTTTCTCCCTTCCCGCACCCCCCGGAGGCCGACCAAGGTCTCCTCCGCCGTGGCACAGGTGATGTTATCCCGCCGTTTACATGTTCAGGACGCACCTGCCACCATCGAGTCCACGCCGTACTGCCTGCCCCGAGGGTCTGCAGTCAGGCGGTGTCCCGACTCACTCACCGTGGATCTTCGGCGGCTCCCCCCTGCCGTTCTGGGGCTTCAGGGGTCCACCAGAAGATCACACGAGACACCGACCACCAGCCCCGAGGGGCTGGTTCCGTTGGCAGACTTTGCAGAGGCTTGGCGGAGCCTGACGAACATTTCTCCGTGGGTCCTGCGCACTGCCATAGATGGGTATCGACTACAGTTCAAACCCGCCCTCCAAATTCAACAGAAGAGAGGGGGTGGTTTGGACTGTGGTCCGCCCGGAGCAAGGTCCGGTGTTGGGACAGGAAGTTCGTACTCTGCTGAGGAAAGGGGCCGTGGAACATGTCTCCCCCCAGACAGAGACGCCGGTTCTACAGCCTGTACTTCATAGTCCCCAAGAAGGACGGAGGGCTGCGTGCCCTATTTTGGATCTGCGGGTTCTAACCGGTCTCTGAGGAGATTCAGGTTCAAGATGCTCATCATCCCCGCCATCGTGACGGGGATGATGGCCCCGCTGAGGCTCCAGGGCATCCGGATTTCAACTTCATCGACGACTGGCTCATCCTAGCCCAGTCTCGAGAGTTGGCGGTTCGACATCGAGATGTCGTTCTGGCTCATCTGCGGCGTTTAGGGCTGAGCATCAGCTGCTGGCTAACACGCCGACACGCCGACAGCCAATGGTACTTCTACACTATAAACAAAGGTGCTCTGTTTACTTCGTTCTGTTTGGGGGAGAACAGTTTCACGGGCGTGGAGAGGTCAGATCTTTTCTATGTAATTTGACTAAAGTCTTTGTACTTGAACTAGGATTATTAAAGTACCTCTTACCCCTGCCATGGCCACACTCATCCTTTCCCCATTAATGTTTCCTTCTCAGATTATTTCCCACCCTTTTTTAAATCTGGCATCTATTTCCTCGACCTGCAGCTCTTGGTGTGCAGCTCTGTGAGCGTCTCCTAGCAGTCAGCCTTGTAGTGGCTGCAGTATTACAGCAGGTCAGTCGCAAACACTCAACAATCTTTTTATGTTTACATAATTGTTTAATCAGCTAATATATCCTATAGTTGTTTTAATATCTGTAGTCACAGATCACCTCCAGTAGTATCAGCAACAACACAACAGCAGCACAACAGAACTTTACTTAAGTACAATTTTGATTAAAATGATGAGCTACTACTCCACTACATTTCAGAAGGACATATTGTAGCCAACTTTTTACTCCACCACAATTATTTCACAACTTTTTCCAACTTACTAGTTAGTTTGATTTTACAAGATTAAGTTATAAAAAAATATAATGCATTACGGCTTTACATCATGTGGCTGATTATTTTAGAGTACAAAATATCTTTCAGGATGGGAGAGGCTCCATAATTTACCACTCTGAAAGGGATCATTAGGTTGAATGGGCAGCCCACTTTTACTTTGGATACTTTAAGTAGCTTACATTTTGCTGGTAATAATATTTTTTCGACACAAGTAGATCTGTTGAAATTTTAATTCTTTATTTGAGTATTTTTGGGGCCAGTAGTCTACTTTGAGCTAAGCTGCCATTTTTCTACCTTTGTTACAAAAGTCTGTTATCTCTCTGCATTTTGCTGCATTAACCCAAATGAGCTGTCATCCAAGCTGTGCGTAGCTACGCAGGAGAGCTTTCCTCAGTGCGATTGTGCCAGATATTAATGAATTGGACAGATGCAAGCATTTAAAAATCAGGCAAATACCTTTTGGATTTAAGGTTTGGTTCTGCTTATATAACTCAAATCCAGTAACTGCACATTCTGCCACCAGTGGCTGCATGTGTTGGAATCAGTCTACATCATCCTTTCACAAACCAGCAGAAATATTTCACAAAACAAAAGTAGGCTTCACACTGTATACGCATCTACGTCATCTGCAGTTATTTATTCAGGAAAAAATAATTCATCTGTTCAAGGAAAAAAGTAAATGTGGCTGGATAAAACAGGTCTGTTGGGCTTTACCCGTGATGCTTCATTCAACAATGGACTGCTTGCGTGCTATTGCCACAATTTTTTTAGGTTAAGATTAGGTTCATAGATGCTTTAGAAATAATTTTGGGCTGAGCTATTGGAGATTTGCAGCGCAAATAATATGAAAGAAAGTGGTTTGGTTGGCTATAGCCTTTCCATGTCAAGAAACAAGAGATAAAGACACAAATAGGCAAGGCAGCTCCCTGCTGTGATATTTAAAGTGATCTTATTGATAACTTTATATAGATTAGAGTAAATGTATTGCATCAAACAGAAAAAGCTAGAGATCAACATGCCGGTGCCCCTGTAACATAGACCTTGGACCCCCCTATGCCCCCCCTGCTGAACGAAAAGTCTATAGTAGCCACATCCGCTGAAGCAACCTCCATGTGGCCCAGCACATAATCTAATAGATATGACAACAAAAGCAAACTACATGTATAGTGAATGGAAGTCGCCATTTGAGTTTCACATGCGCTGTATCGATCACCGCCAATCAAGGCTCAACATAAACCTGCAGCCTCTCCCCTCCTCTATGTCTGCAGAGCCAGCCAGCTGATCAGCGGACATTGACGACAACTGCGCTGGTTAGTATATGTACATGGTGCAATAAAGACTTAGCCAGTAAAAAGCCAATTCTTTACCAACACACCT